AAACTTGGTAGGTAGTTAGTTACATATATCATGTTTTGAATTCGGGTGATGATACAACTACAAATCATTAACTTAAAATTACTTATGACAAGGAGAGTAATTGTACATTCTAATAGTTTGATCTGTTGACGAACCAAAAAAATGGTTTGATTTACATTAATCATTTTTCTTGTTTTAATCTACTTATTTATAACATTGAAAAACGACAAAATAGACATTTAATCTATGATTAAAGTGAACTTTGGGGAAATTCCACATCTTTTTATGGGTGCTCTAATTTCTTATTGCTTCTCGGAAAGTTCACACTTGACAAGCACGATTAGTCTTGCACGTTGGAGTCAAATTATTCTATTTGTTGTATTAAAATTCACTAAAATAACCTTCAACCCTTAAATCTAATGAGTCTTTAAGTAATAGTACTACTTACTTACCAGCATGTATGTTCTTTTCATGATCACTGAATAAAAATCTCCATATAAATTTTAGTAAGAGATAAGGGGAGAAATTACAGTAATTTATAATGGAACAATTTTTCTCAAACATCACTATTCCATTTGAATATATGAATTATGAGATGCAAACAAAAAAAGTTTAAATTGGCTATTTAATTGCCTCTAAACACTTCTCGGATATCATAAATATAAATTTATTAATGTTGCCACTGGTCAGTAAGATGCAGTAATTGCAATGTTTAAAGCATTTTAGCAGTAAATTTATGTGAGGTGAAACTAAAAAAAAAGAAGAGGTAAAAAAAGTAAATGTGAAGAGTTAAAATATTTAAACGATGTCAGAGTTGGCCTAAAACGGTGTATAATCTGCAAATCTGCCACTATAGCTTTTGTGTCACTCTCCTTTAACTTTTGCTTTTAAAAGATTAACAAATAAAAGGTAACTGTTGTGTTTATTACCAATCTACTTTATTTATCTATTTTATATTTGAACTTTGTTTAAAACTCTCTACATAGTGGCAGATTATTTGTTATCAATGGATAATTCTTGCCCCAATTTATTTTATAATTTTCCTTGATGAAGTTGCCAACTCTATATAAATTCTAGAAACATGCATAATTTTGGAATCAAAATAGTTTATCACTTTACCAAAAATAAATGAATTTTTTTTATTAATTATTGTGAATTTGAAAAGCAAAGAGATGAGAACCCCGCAAGAAAAAAATTAAAGCGAAAATAAAATGAATACAAGTTACTTTGCAGAGGCTCTGCCTTTTTATCATCTCTGATCTTAGTCATATTTTTGCTTTTATTGTGAAAAGCACCCCAGAGTGCACTTCTGTTCCCAAAATTTTGAACAAGTTCCATAAAAAGACTGAATAAATCATCAAAACATTATTTAAAGTAAAAAACCGAAATTTAAAGTGGAAAAAATTGGAAAATATAAATTAATTATCAAATGGTGAGAATAAATTCAGGTTTTGTCGTATAGTTGTCTTTGTGCTACTCTCTAGCATTAGTACATGGGATGGATTGTAAAGAAAAGATATGACTTGATAGTGTTAACTTTTTCAAAATTTTACAGAATCTTAAGATTCTCCTTAGTCGATCTTGAAAATGTCAAGAAAACGTTGATCAGACTTACGGACATGTCACATGTGATTAAGTTTACGATTTATCATGGGAAAAAGTAGGATTCAATCAGTATTTTAAGTGTTTAAATAAGTTTATTTCAGAATTTTTTATCATAACAAATATATATCTCTGATGAAATTTTACCGGACCATCCAAATAAGTTAATTCGGTCTTGCTAATGAGATATATAAGCATGTGTATAAATATAGTTGTTTTATTAAATAATCAGTATGTAAGCATATTAGGTTGTACAAAATGAAGCATTGCGTTTGTTTCTTTTTCTTAAAAGGAACATTATCAAGTACTTTTCTCAAATAGATGATTATAGGAAACATGAACAGAGATTTTGGGAATTAGCGATGGAGAATTTGCTAATTTCTTGGGTCATGTGTGGAGGAGAAACACTATAGTGAAGAGGATTTGATGCATCGTTTTCACTAAAGGTGTTCAAAAAGAATTATCAGTCTCACCATCTGTTATAGAAATTATTGTTATAAAAAGAATACAAAGAAGATAAAAAGGAGGTATTATAATGCATGATTTCTTCTTAGTTTATTGGAGATGAGAAAAGGTGTCATTGTCATGTTGTAGGGACCAACTTTGATGTGTTCCAAAGAGACCTTTACTTGTTTTCTCCTGTTAAAGCAAACAAATGGAGTTGCTTCATACTTTTATCTTTTTACAATACTTCATTCATGTTTATTCGGTATCAACTAGCGAATAAATCATCTTTGTTTTATAATCTTTGGTTTAGTAACAAATTTCAAAATGACATATTGACATCAAATCTTGTTGGCTTTGTAGTTATTGGTTTTCCCTCTTTGCCCTATCGGCCTATCATCTTCACATTGAAAACATCAACAACGTTTTTACACTCTAGAGGAACATAATCGATTGCGAAGGCTGTCACACGACCATCAACATAAAGCACAATTATATATCATCTTCATTACTTTAATATCTGAAGAGTCACGGTTCCTTATTATCTTCATCTATTTAGAA